ATCGTAAAGCTTACAGTTCGTTATATTGTAAAGTTAAGTTTAGATTCTTCTGATTTTTATATAAATGATCAGTCTTCTCAGCTGCTTCCATGTCGTAAATATCTAAAACACATGAAACATTAAATCTGTTTTCTGTTTCATGGCTGAGAAAAATTGTCTAAAATATTATTGGCTTACTCGATCCGTATTCCGTAATGGCTAACTGGCATTTGATAGTTTGCGGGACCTTTCCATAATAAATGTTAATTTTCGGAAACAGCATGCTTAATTGATCCACGAAGTATTTTCTTAATTCTAACAGATTCTGTAGCAATTTCGGAACGTTGCAAATATATCTGAAATGTACGAATAATATTCTACGTTAGCGCATAAAATAAAAAGTGTACGCAATAAAAATAGTTAATGAAAACAGGAAGTTAAAGCACCTTATGTTAAGTATATGCATGCTCACACCTCAAACATATACATGAATATGTTACATGCATTTACATAATAGAATTCGAAGAGACTTACATTTCATTACACAGACCAACTGTTATGTAACATATAATTAAACGGAGAGCTCTTGAAATTTCAATGTTAGAAAATTAAAGTTTATCTAAAGATATAAACAAGTTGCTTTATGTATAGAAATAGAAGAGTTGCCTTACATACAGAAATAAACAAGTTGCTTTATGTACAGAAATATAAGAGCTGCTTTATATATAGGTGTGAAAGACTTGTTTTATATACAGAAAGAACTAAGATTTGCGGAAGCTTACCGGGACGGGCTCGTATGTCTAGTACAAGAAGTCGGAGGAGATGTACGAAGTATATTGCCAACTACTTTGTACTCCACGATGCGTTTTTCTACGTTGTTACCAACGTAACTATGATCACATGCATAATGTTAGACTTTATGATAACAATTTAGTACATATTAAAATATGAAATAAAATCATGCAAAAGCGACTATAGTTACATTAATCATTAACATAAAAATCGGCAGTCTACCTACTATTGTTACTTTTAAATTGAATCCAATGAAATGAGGAATTTTAATTAAAATATCAGAATTAAAATAGCATGCGATTACAAGCCAAAATCCATGCATGTTAGTTGAAATTTGGAAAATGTTACTTTTAGAATTGTGGAATGTTACTTACTTGGTAAACGCCGCGTAAATCACGTCTGCCGGCAGTATACACGGTAAACTAAGTAATGACAACAGCTTTACGCTTTTATGTTTGAACAACCAATTGATGAGTCCCTTATTCGCAGAGTCGATCGCATCTTGGAATATAGTCATCACCGTTTCAGGTAAATTCGACACTAATGCTTCCTATGACAAATGCATTGTCGATTTAAATCTTATCTTCAAGAAAACTAACCCAAACATATTACCAAAGGTATATATTTACCTCATCTGCATCGTTAGCATAAGTAGTAGTATAAAAATTATTGTAATAATTAAATATAATATTTATAGTAGAGTACGATGCAAATGGGTTAAAAAGAAATAATCCGAATTATTTTCACTTTTCGTTATGTCAATTGATTACAAACCTGTCTGTGCATTTTACACTCTAAGCACTCGGGGTCGTACTCCATGTTATCGTCTAGAGTCTCTGAGACTACAAATGTCGACTGTACTGCCAAGCATCGAGTACAATTAAGTAAATTGTTACGATGAAGGAATCTCAATGCATCGTCGAATCCTTGTTTGCACATATTTGAAAGCATCTGCGAACGAAATCGAACAAGTTCGCTCAACCTTTTAAGTTACTCTACTCTAATATAGTAGAACCTTTGTATGAACTAAACGAGGACTTGCATTGCAATGGGAGAAAACACGCGAGCGAAGCTGCGACGAGATGCTAGTGCTTACATAAATGTTCATATAACGAAAGTTCTACTGTAAACAATTTGAAATTTTACCTCTGGATTCGGTGGGAAAAGTATCCTCGCGAATCTATAAATATTTTGTCTCGAAAGTTCAATACTCGTGTTTGCGAAATTTACCTAAAAATGTACAATAATGAAAATATCAACATAATTTCTACAAGATTAATTGTGATTTTTAAGTGTAAACAAATTATGCAATTATTTTTGGATCTGTCGAACATATTAAAAATGGCTTACATGGAAGAGTTGAGAGGAAACGTCTCTAGGGCAAATGTCGCTTTCCCCGCAGAAGGGGCTAACAGTAATCGTATTTTCATCTAACGTGGGAAGATTGTCGCTGAATCCACCGTCCATGTATCTAACGCCATGAAACCTTGGTGGGAATAGGCCAGAGAAAATTGGAATAAAGGCACTGGCCAATAATGCCTGTAATATAATTACAAATTACAATGACTCCATTAATACTTGGACACATTTCAAAACGGAACAGAGTAGAAAATTAATACAGAAATATCTAAGGAGTACCTGTAGTAAATCTTCTCTGGAAGAAAACTGGGAAACGATTACATTCTTCCCATCGTATACTCTCGTCAGGGAAACGTGAAGTTTACCGCTTACACGAATATGAGCGTCATTAGGTAAAAACTGCAATAGCAATCATATATTATTAATGCTTATTTCCGTTGTATCCAGTAAAACCGTGAATCGATAAGAATATCATTAATAATTCACTGATTCTACTTAAAACGTGTCGTGATTTGTTCAAATGCAAGAATGCATTTGTTCAATGATCTCCATCAAATAAAAAAGAATAACTATACTTGTATTCAGCTTGTATTTATCAGATAGTACATATTACATATAATTGTATACCTTTTGCAAACTTTCTAACAGTACGTCCTGGCAGTTAAAGGATGGGCTGAATGGTCCAAGCGTTCCTTGCCGTGCCTCACGTGCGACGCGTAACACATTGCTCGTGATCTCCCCTATAAAGTGATACGTAGCCTCATTAAGATAATTATTAAAGAAAAAACGAGGGGTCATCAAATATCAGCTCACAATCAATTCTGCCACATCATCTATATATTACATATCATAAATCTAATTGAAAATGAATAGTTTAGGATACATCAAGACTATTTTTGTGCTAAGTGAAATTTTACCTAAATCCGGTATTAATAAGTTAAAATGAGTCTTGAGTCCAAACTTCTCTAATTAAAAAGATTGTATCATAGTAAAAACATCAATTATTCATATTCAACGCCGTTCTTAATGTATCAACTTACAATTAGTCTTTCTTGGAATAATCTGATTGTTAGTATTCTATACTACACTTGCCCTGAATGTTGGTTCGTGATGATGGAACCGAAACGATCTGTTGTTATTAATACAGTCAACAACGATCATTTACATAACATATGACGTTCACGTTCTCACAATGTTACTCTATTATACGCAATAAAAATTTGTTTAAGGTCGCGTCCAGATTAGCGTAACAAAACACATATCGCACATGGTATACGTCAACTCGACATCATCACGTGTACGCTTAGTAGACATCTGTGTTGCTCTGATGTAGACCGCAAATTTTATGCGAAATAAGACATTTATAGCATCAGTTTCAACATGCATTTTAAACAACAATTTCTTTTCATAAATATGTAATCTGCTTTTAATCTACTTTATTTGTCATATCTTATTGTGACATGAGTTTATTATCAAAGCTTATTATAACGTGAGTCATATGGTTAATTCCAATGCCACGTTTCTAAATCATTTTAAGCCTTCCAGCTTTTTGTCATTTTATTATCGATCGAAAGTCGGATTCATTAAAAATGCGATAGGTGCTTTTCATTCCTGTAAGTCTATGAATTTTCTTTGAAGCAATCGAACAAGTTGTTTAACTTTGCTTGACTGAATTCATCAAATTAACAACCAGTGAAAAAGAGTCACGTACGCTGTTACGCTATGGAGAATCAAGTCGTACGCATTGGACGTAATAAATTAAGAGGTCATTGCAACTGCTACATGAACTACACGGTGCTTCATGAACTGATACATATTTATGTATAATTTAGTTTTATGTATGCACTATACTATTATATATATATATACAATATGTACCACACATATATATATAGTTTCCGGTTTTAATACGTAATGCGCGAACTTATATGCACCGCAACGGTACTTCGTATTTATAAGTACTAGAGAAGTGCGAAAACCCGATGATTGGGACAGATCAGGAAGATATTGAGTCGAGACAAAACGGGTTCTCGGAAATTTAGGGATTCCCGCAAGTTTCGAGATTCTAAAGTATGTTTGGAAATCTAGAAAATATTCGGGAAGTAATAAATATTTGTAGATCATGTACACTGTCTAAATTATTTGTGTATCAAGTTCTGTTCTAAATGCATCGAAGTCAACAGAAGATTATATTTATTACTAGGTTCACCTGAATTTATCAAAGGAGCGGTTAAAGTACAAATAATATCAAAGATAGAGAATACGATATCGTTAATTCCGCTATTGTAATGAACTTTATAAGTATTCCAAAGAGAAATACGTATATCAGCATTTCTTACTGTCGAATGCTTTTGAATGGAGTTTCTAAATAACTTGAGATTCATATCTATTCCGAAGTCACACGATTCAAACAATATCTATCTGAAAGCAAACTTTCATGTGGTCTAGGATTAATGAGAAAGCTGAAGCTAAACAAAGGATTGTTTGAATTTGTTGCACAAAGGCAATGCCGACGCCTGCGATAAAAGATAAGCCTGTGCATACCTATGTGTGGAAAAATTGTACAAGATATCTCAAGATGTATGTATATACTCGGTCAAGTATTGATTATTTGAAAAATTGTATTTGTATTCGTTTTAAAAGATTCTACATTTTGTGTGTAGAATTACAGTTCTGTTACCATTATGTCTTAAGATTTATGTATACATGTAGTAGAGTCAAGTACTGATTATTGTTGTGAGTTACATTTAAAAATCGTATTTCTATTTGTTGTACGAGATTTGAATACAATTTTCATAAGCAGATAAAGTTTAGTTCTTTGAAAAATTGTTTTAGGAAGCAGTTTATCAAAATATGTCAAAGCAGCTCGGTTAGAGAGTTCCAGCTTTAATTTGAGCTGTGAACAAACTATACCGATTCATTACTTACGAAGTTATAAATGTATATATGTATATATTCTTATTTACCATTCCTACAATATGCATATGTATGTATCTAGGTAAAAAGTGGTATGTACATTACAAAGTGTAAAATTTCAGAAAACAGATTGAAATGAAAAGAGTTCAACGCTTCGATAATGATTCTTTACACATATGTCGAATCGTACTTGTTACGAAGAAAGCTCGTTAACAAAGGAATTCGATAGCGATAAGCTACTCGATTTGTACAACGCGTAGTACTTGAATCATTGCTTCGAACAATAAGAAAATTACACATACAGCTATACTATTTTTTTCTTATCTATCGAATACGAAGTTGCTGCCATAAATGTATCTATATCTTTAATCCGTTATTGACGAAAACAGTTAATAAATAGTACACAGCAATACGGAAGTAGAGATGAAATAGAGAGAGAAATACGTTCTTGCTCATTGTTAGCCAAACCTATTTGCATCGTGCGTCGTCGTAAACAAAAACAAATAGTCTATTTTATATAACAATTGTAACCAGAAGTGCAATAACTTCTATTATATAATATATGTAATAGTAATTGATATGATGCTTCTTAGTGTAGTGATTGATATAATAGTTCATTCAATGTTTTATACAGTAATTCATATAACAATTGTTGTAATGCTTGATACAGTAGCTGATTTAATGTTTAATATAAAAATAATTGATAATTATCAATTTTAATAAAATTTCTGTTGGATACTACACTTTGAGAATAATGACTAGAAAAATTCTACACATACATATTAATAGCTCACATGAGTCAAAGGTAAGAAAATTTCCTTGCACGATTTCTATATACATATAACACATCGTTGTGCAATACACAAAGTGAACAGTAAGATTGTCAACCTTGAATATCTAAACCATATCTATAAAATACATTTGTCTTTTTGCTCTTTACAGAAAAGAATATAACCAAGCACTTGTAGCTCGTGAAACGTATTTTTATTATTTGTTTGAAAATGTTAATTCTATAATGTATGACAGCAAGTTGAACAGGTAGAATGTTCGCTATTATGAAAGCATCGGGTTTCTGGTTGGCCATGGTATTATACCACATGTTGGAATAAAAAATACAAAACATAATGAGTCACAACTATTATATAAATATTTATAGCTCTGCAAATTTGCAAACACTAAAAGTCCTTCGCGGTTATATGAATTCGTTGGATCGTTTTTATAATCATGCTCCAAATATCAAAAGTACAACGTACGTGGTATCAGTTTGATAAATTAGACAATCATTTCTATAATCATTTAAACATTGAAATATACATTCAGCTATTATATTTCTTGTTGATTTTCTCCTACATCTATGAAAATTGTAGTACTATTAGATTCTCTTCTAACAGAGGAGACCTAGTTCCTGTAGTATATACATATACTCATTGAAGTGATTTATCAGTTACTTCCACATCTTGTTAAAAATCATTCAATGTTTCATTTGATTCATAATAGTCTAATGAGGAAAACCTGATTTCCAACTGAAAGATTGCGATTGAGAAAACAAAACTGAGAAACAATATTTTGCAAGTGTGGATCATCTAATTTGAATAACATCGGTAAACAAACAGTGATGATTTCGTTGCCAAAGAGGAAGATATATTCCTGTTTCATGTACCAAATGATAAGCTGTTATCGGGGCAAAAAGATGTTGAGTATTGCGTAGTAGCGACATATAATTATATCTATTGCAGTTGCTTGTATTGTGTTATACTATATTCATTACCAGTCTTATTTGAAAAGAAAAACAATCGATAAGTGTTCTTGTTCTAGTTCCAATTTGTTTCTTCTAAGCTTGACCCAATTACAATTTATTCAATTCCAGAAACTTTTATGAATAATTATAAATCCTACTACCATAACGTATTAACGTAACTGTGATTAGACTGGGTGAGATTGTACTTAGAATCGTATTATCTTGCTTTGTAATATATTTATTATAAAACATCTTAAACTAGTTAATAAATTCAATTTCATTATAGGATAGTTTAATTTTACTTAGACTGCGGATTTTCAAATAAAGTAATACTTTTACGATATAAGTTTACACCAGGGTTGCTGTTTTAATTTAATTGAACACTAATTGGTAACATTTGTTTTTTATTCGAATTATGACTAATTAAAAATAACAACTATTTAATTGACTTAATTGAAAGAAATTCAAGTTAACGATTATATTTTCATTCTTAATTAAAGAATACTCCAATAGTTGATGATAATATAAAGAAATTTAATCGTTAATTGTTAATGCGGCAATTAAGAAGTCTGCAAATCTGATTTAAGATTGTACGAACCCTTATTTTCGCAGTCTAGCAGTAATCGTTAGCAGGGCGAAGGAGTATTTAACAAACGTTCGCAAGGAGTTAACAATGCAAACATGTAGAACACGAATTGCGACAGAGTAAGTAATCAAGACAAAAGTAGTAATAACGAGATATTCGTAAGAGAAGACGAACAATTTGTTCAACACGTTGGATAGGAATGTGCGATATCGGTAGCTCGTAAATCGACTCGTTAAAAAAAACTAATTATTCGTTGTATATCGAGCAGATACGTAAACACAAAGGAGTTCACTCACCGAGGGGCATGTCGCAGAGGAGACAACACGCGGCGATAGCACCAGCCGATGCGCCGCTAATCTTATCCAACAGCAAGTGCGGCGCGTATTTCTTGAAGCACACGGCCACGCCGACATGGTAAATACCCAGGAAGCCGCAGCCAGCAAACGATAAATTCATCTCTTGGCCGTCGTCGTTTATCTGAACGAACGAAATCCCCGTGGGTCACCGTGATCATATGAACGTCACTCGTTAAACGGCCGCTTCGAACGACGTATTTACCGCCCGACGTCCAACACGGTACTATCGATAGCAATAGCAGTAGCACTTTGATGTGACGACGCTCTCTCGAAACTCGTCAGTTTAATCTCGAGCTCGAGCGATTGAAAAAAATACATGCTACAAACAACAGTTACGGAGAGATAATATAACGCGGTCCGATGACGTCCGGTTTGTAAATACTCAACGCTATCCCGATTGGCTGATCGCGATGGTCTGATAGCTCCGCCCTCTCAGCGTTCATAAACTCATTCATTGCATTATGATACGTATATGTACGCTTAAATTTAGGCAGTGTTAACATTCACCTGTGTTAAATATGTATAGCGCGAATAATTATACGAAATAATTGATTTCTCGTCAATTTCATTAAAATGGATTTCATGGAATTCATTCAATAAATGCATTTTTATGTTCAGAATCAACTGACAATCGATGACAATTCTTCTCAGACCAGTTTGTAAGATCGTGGTTTGGTTGTCTCGTCAGTCTTCGAATGAGTTCACATACTAGTATAAAGCAATAGCCTTCAGCGCTTTGAGTATTATAATCACTTAGTAAGTAAAATAAATGTTTTGCAGAATATGTAAACTCGCATGTTTCTTTCTGAAGATAGTCGTTATTAATTGATTCAAATGAGAATCGTGTAAGAATCGTTGTAACTGATGTATCTAGATTCTATACGAATTCGAGTTCGTTTAAAATTATTGGTCGACGATCTACAATCTGTGTAGGATTGGTTAGTTTCGTAAATGACAGTTGTTATGAGTTCCTTCGATTGTTTTAAGTGTTTTGTATAAAACTTGTGAATTATTGATTCGAATACATAAAAGTAGTAGCTTTCATTGATCTGAAAGTATATTCCTTAATTAAATACCTCGAAAATCCTAGAATCCTACCTTGAATAAACATTTATGTATGTACATATGCGCAACTACTTTTGTGAAATCACCGTCAAATCTATTTCCTTATTTAAACCGTTTGATGTTTTGCTAGAATTTCACATACGCAACTGGATTTGTGACAGAGTTAGAATCAATGTGCATAATTTTCTTCATACTTCCAATGTTTTTATATGAAAATAAAAATGTTGAATAACTTTATTAAAAATTGCGATATGTTTTTTACATATGTAAAAAGGGAACGTCGATTGGTCGATACCAATTTCCGTTGAAACAAAAAGGGAGATCTTCGAGGTTTTCGCGGAATTTTAATGTGCGTTCTTTGATACGCGCATGCACGCATAACCAATAAATGGCAATACGATTCAGAAGAAGTCGAAGAAGAAATTGAGCTGTAATGGGTGAAAAGGAACAAATGTCGCACGTGGCTCAAGGCAATTTGACTGAAACAATATTTCACGCCGTGTACATACCAGAAGAAAATGACATTTGCACAGAAAGTAATACTAAAGGTAAAAATCATATAAAATGTTACAGCCCATTACGATTGCATCACAAACTCAAGTGTACTGTAAACTATAATATGCTTTAGAAAATGTAAGAGTTTATCAAGATAAAGCTGAAGCCTTAAAGGTGATCAAGGAATTTAAAACTGGCCGCTTGAAATCGTTCAAAAACAGATCGGAGGCTGAAGTGTACGCAAAAACTGGATTTGAGAAAGGAAATAATGTTAACAATATCTCAGTAGTGACTGCAGTACCTGTCGTTGAAGAGAAATCAAGTAATTTTAAAGCTCCCAAATCTCAAGAACTTGTTTGCTTTAGAAAATTAGTAAAAGATGGAGATCTGTATGCTGTTAAAAGCACTGTATGGGCAAATCCAAGATATTTAATCGGCAGTGGAGATACACCCGCGATCTTGCAAGTAAATCGTCTTTCATCTCAATTTTCTAAAAAGAAGGAAATGTTATAATACACATTAATACAATATTTCATATATCACATATCAATTGTTGTATCATCATATTTCAGGAAGGATGCCGTTACAACGCGTTGCACATTGCAGTAAGAGCGGACAAACCAGATATGTGCGAGTTGATACTAAACACTGTCGGAGACACAGATTTTATAAAGTTATTATATGGCGACGAATGCAAAAGCTATGTAGATCGTGCTCAAATTATGCTAGATTTGTATTTGAATACCCCTGACAAAGGATTAAACGAAACTCCGCTACACTTTGCTGTTAAATTTGGTATGAAGAATGTGGTTCGAGTTCTCGTTTCCTATCCGTGTTGCATAAAAACATTGCCCAACAAATATAAACAACTACCAATAGATGTACGTGATACGATGTTCGAGAATATTTCCTATCAAATGGAATTCTAATTTTTCTTCGAAATTGTAGATTATTTGCAGCAGAACGAATCAAGAAGATGAGAAGCTAAAAAAGGAGATACGTATTCTATTAGAGGAACAGTATTATGTACCTGTGTTAAGATCTGAAGACAATTCATTGCAGCCTGTGATCGGGGAACCTTTTTCTCCTACTAGTCCCGTAGTACGCTAGAATGTTTCTTTTTTATTTATGTATTATCAATAGATGCAGTTTTATGTAAAATAGTATCGTACTATGTTTTATAGAATATATGTACGGATCCTATCAGTCCACGTTTAGAAGTACGTGCGTTTGCTGGACCAATGACGAAGTCACGAGCATTAGAATTTCGAAAAAAATGGAAAACACCTCCGCGCCTTCGTATGACTCCGATTAAGATGATTGTAGAAGATGAATCCAACGTTACAGACAGTCCTGTTAATCATTTAGCTTTAAGACTACAAGACGCGGAAAAAGGACTCGAACGAGTAGGAAGGTATAATTTACCATCGATTCAAACGTATCGTACAATGCAGTTAAATTAGTACATTGAACAAAGGTTTGAATTAAAGAGAAATAAAATTTAATATATGATTTTTAGAGACTTGGCAGAGGAGTACCAAGTGTCCTGGAAGGAGTATTGGCCTTTCTTGAATGATTTCGCTGACTTTCGTACTAGCGAGGGTTTGATAAAGCTCGACAGATATTTAGAACGTAAATTCCAGGATCATACGCTTTATTGCAAACAGGTACAAGTCAGAAGACAAATCTCATTTCTAACGTTTGCAAATGTACATTTTTCTATTATTCCTTTGTAGAATACCGATAAGGCTAATTCAGAAATGACAACGGTTAGAATAGATTATCTCTGCAGTCAACTCGAATCATGCTTGTTGGATAAACGAGAAAATAATATAGGTATGTATTTTTTTAATGTGAATGCTCGTAAACGATGTAATGTTCCTGGTTTTCTTCCTTAGATGACCTGGAATTTTTTACACCTCCGTCATCGCCGAAATTAGTAGTAGACAGCTCCGACGATGAGATGTATAATGCAGAAGAAGGTCCCAGAATATTTCTCGAAGGGTAAAGTATAATATTAGATACGTCTTCTCCTTATGTAAAATAATTACTTTTATATGTCAATAGTCGTTAAATACTTATTACTAGGCCAGTGCCAACGAAAGTAGATCACGCTGTTTACAACGCGGTATCAACATCAGTTAATTCCAATACGTATCCAAACATTTATCTCTGGCAACATGAGATGCAACTCGTTATAAATTGTGATTTACAAAGGTATCAATTTTTCCTTACAACGGATTGTATAATTATTAATTAACTCTAAGAGAATTTGTTACTTCCAGAGCAAACAGTATGAAAGCGATTCGAAGGAAACTGATTATGAACCTCTAACTATGCCAACCTGTTGCGGAGAAATGTATAAAACTGAAACTTTATAAAATTTTTTACGTTACGCACAATAATAGTTATTTGTTAAATAGTGTTAG